AATAAATATGCATAAATACCAATAAAACATTAACAATAAAAATGGACATAATCCTTTAAAGAATTCCAAAGTGTTTGACTGTAGCAAGGAAAAGCAGTTTTCTGTCCACTTATAACAACAATCTTGACTATAGCTGGCATCTTTTATTTCAACATTTAACATTTCATAGTATCATATAGATAAATGAATTATGCATTATTACAATATAGCATATTAAAGTGATTTAGAATTTCTTCCTCATACTATTGTATTCATGCAGTGATACCATGGATGGTGCTGCTGAAAAAGCATTTATTAAATAATTAAAAAATCAAAATACAGAGGTACAAATGTACTTTACTTTCAGAAGCTCTGCACTCTTTTTAGATTGAATTCATCTTAAGCCAACCAAAAACTGATATCCCTGAATTATTTAAAAAAAAAAAGTGCATACTGCACATTTTGCTGGAAACATCAAAACCTGTGCTTATGAAATCTTCCTGGAACTACATTTCTATGACTTATACAAGAAATCAGACCCTACACTCAAAGAGCTGGTTATTAAATAGCGTAGCTTTAAAAAAACTCAGCATGCTGGACATTCGTATTTTACAGACACAAATTTCAAGAGATAGAAATGCATATAGGCCTTAACATTAATAAGGATCCAAAGTTGCTGCTAATAAAATCTACTTTCAATGAGATGATTTTTCTAAAGCGTTTTTAAAAGGTTAACAAATAGAGAGTTAACCTTCAAAATAAGTTCAAGGATTCCTCTCTAAATATATGCTTTCTGTTTACCTGGCATACAGATCAAAATGCTACAATATTGCCAAAGGAAAACAAGCTGTTATCCCAGTTACACATAAATATCTTTAAAAAGATGTTTTGGGAACCTTTAAATTTTATTATGAATTTGGTTTTGCTCAAAACAAGACCACAAGCTGCCCATTAAGAAAAAGAAGAACAACTGGAGGTTTTTATAAGAACAGCTTCTACTCACCATGTCAATGGATACACAATTAGAGATCTACTTCTCCAAGGAAATCAATATTTATAGAACAGCCAGCATTTCAAATATATGGTTAGTATGACTACACTCAAAGTTCTTAAGCTTTTTACCTGTGACCAATAGGAAAAGAAAGTTGCCACTTATAATGGGTTCTGCTGTGAAGAGTGGCATCTGCTTACATCGCATCATTTCAAAGGATTTGCTAAAACAATCAGATGGGCTCATGCTGAAATAGCCCAATCACTAGTAAAAACTGCCCCAGGTTTTAAGAGCCTAGCGGGCTTTAAATATCTATGCGATTATAGTATTTGCATCTTAGAAAAGACGACCAAAAAGCAACTAAACAAATGTTGAAAATGTACTCTTCAACACTATTTCAAAGTATTTCCATTCTTCATTCATATGCCCATTTAGGAGACATAATTAGACACTGTCAACTGTACCAACATTGTTGGTGGCTAATGAACACAGGCCAAGACAATCAGGACATGTAGTAATTACTTTTTTAAAAAATTTGGTAAAATTAATTCAAACATACAGTTTTTTATACATCCCATTTTAACTTTAAATTAATGGGGGTCTTGAGAAAAATAAAAACCAAGGTGTGGAAAAGTAATCTTATTTTAAGTTCATGGGCTCTTGTATTATGCTGCTCTATTCAAGAACATTATTATCTGTCTAAATAGTATCTGTTAGACTTTATATTAGTCCTGAAAGGTAAGATTACATTACTGCATGTACCTATGATTATGGTGGAATTCTAAAACCCTAAGCACATGGGGAAGCCAAGGAATCTTCTTTTCTGTTGGCAAACACAGAGGAATAATATTCTGGTCGTAAGAAGAGTACCCTTCACCTCTCTTTGGTCAGTAGGTCCTTAACCAGGAGGAATCAGAGAGGTGGAACAAAGATTTCTGATTTCCTGCAACTCTTATGAAGAAATTCCCTGATATAGACTAGACGTCCATGGAGAATTCAGTAGAAAGGAAGAAACAAAAGTGGCTCCCTTTTAAAATTCATTCATTCATTCTTGTAATTATTCAGCCCTTATTTTTTTCAAGGGCTACACAGTGATAGGAAATTTACTAAGCACTGGATATACAGGTCTCTGAACTACTTTGGCTATAGAGATAATGAAAAAAAGGAAACAATAAGATACAGAGAATAATGGATTGGCCATGGTATCAAAACTACATGAAATATACTTTCCAGAGAGGAAGAATACGCAGTTGGAGACAGACAGAACTGAAGCATCCCTAAAGCCAACCAATAAAGTGGGTAAGTATTGTATTTTATAGAGTATTGGGAGAAAGCAACGTTGTCAGAATTCAATTCATAAAGTCTCAGTACTTAAAAACTGTATCTTTAATGACTGTATAAATGAAGATTAAGATTTTGTATAGAACTCGGAGTATAGAAAATGGGAGTCTCTCAGAAAGCATCTTGGACAAATTAACAGATACACGCAGGTGCTACTAGAAAGTAACATAATTTCCTTAGCCAGAATATCACAGTGGTCAGAATTAAACAGAGTTCAATATAAATTGTTTCAAGTTCTTCATAAAATATGTGTGTGTGTTTATGACTACATAGTAGAGCATATAAATTCTCAGTATGAATAGGCATGCATGTAAACTCCCGATCTCCCCCAGCACCACCTTCTCTCTTTACAAACTTTCCTGCTACCCAACGAGATTAAAAAATGGAAACCCAGCAATTATAGGCAATAGCAAAGAAATCCATGAGTTTGATTTTAAGAGTAACAGAAACCATCAGTAATGACTAAAATACTTATCCACTCTAAAAGGCGAAATAGACACCATTCATATGACAGGCTCCCGGCTGCCCCAGTCCAACTGGCTTTATCTGTTTGGGGACGATTTGAAACCTGGCTAAGGCTAGAATTATATTTAGTCATCCATCCTTTACCACTGAGAAGGATATTCCCCAAACATCCTTTCTCTGTTTTCCAACATACCTTTATGGATTTAAATGAGCTTATTTTTATAAGAACAATAACTTCCCAAATGATATTTATTGTACTGTAAAAACTATACTTTCCAAAATATACAAACAGTTCCTGTTGAGCATCATAGAGTCAGTCATTAGTTACAGATAGCAGGCATTCTTTTACACCCTTTAAACTCTAAAGCTTGTCATTTCACTACCATTTGAGAAACGGTTCCACTGTTTATGTGCCTTTTTCACCCAATGGGAAATTATACAAAAGACTAACACATCGCTTTTTACAAACAATATTCATCATGAGTGAATATAATACATGTGGTTGTAATTATTTCAGTTACATATATTCCTAAATGTAAGTTGTATATAATTACACATAACACATTTCTTTCTTCCATTACTCCTTTCTTCATATTTGAGCTTATATTTTTCTACAAGTAATGACTTGAATTCAAAAAGTATAATCCAAAGAAAATGAAAAGATTGTATAAATGTCACTGCCTTGCTGTGAATTTTACATGCTCTTGCTGAACTCAACTCTGTGAACATCTGGACTGGATTTCTACTGTAAAGGGAAATACATCTATGCATGAAAAAATGTGCCAGGCAATAGCTTCTTCACATAGAAGAGCCTGAAAATGTGTGAAAAAAGTCCTACTCCTAATCACACGTTTTCACATGCACGGCTCTCATTTTTCTTTTCTATACAGCCATACTGGATCTTGATAAGAAAGTTCATACTGCTCATTCTCTTTTTTATCTGTAATAGAGTTTTCACAGGCTCATAAAAATTTTCAGAAATCAGAGTATGCCAATTAAACCCAAACAGGCTTTTCTAAGCCATGTAATAGATAATAATGTAGAAAAGAGGAAGTGGGGAATAATTTTTGTTGGTTTTTAAGGATTACATAATAATGGCAATGATGATCAGAAGGCCTACACATAAACTATCAAAAATGGAACACAGGATTATTTTATCAAGGCAGTTGAATTCCTCTTACATTAATTTATGCTTTGGTCTGTTTTTTCTAGACTCTGAAATCTTGAAACCAACTCTGTGTTTTCCTCCTGTTTGTATCTTCTCATAATTTCTCATTTTTTCCCCTTAAAAAATAATGTAATATCTCAGATTTTTAAAAAAAATAAGTAATATGACTGCTGGAAAAATTCTATAAAATTATGAAGAATTAAATCACTTATAATCATACCACCTAGCAATGATAATTTCTCACAATGTTTTTTTCTAAATACTTCAAAAAATTTTAAATACTTTATTAAAATTTATTTCATAATTCTTTTTAAATAAATTTTAAATATAAATATTTTATATAGAAAATTTAGAAAATATAGAGATACATCAGGAAAAGCATGAAATTACTCATAATCCCCCTACCCAGTCAGAGCCTACATTTACTTCCATTTCTATATCTATCTTTTCCTGTAACTAAAGGTAATATTTTATTGTCCCATATTATGCCCTTTCACATATCTTTTGATGAGTTATTTACTATGTCATTACTCTTTAAAAATAAAAATTTTTATATCTGCATTATTTTCTACCTTTCTTCTGTAGATCATTTAATCTTTTCCTACTCAGATACTTAAGATAATAAGGCAGTATAAAAAACATCTTTGTTTAAATATTATCAAATTTTCTTACCAACTCAGCCAGCTTTGTTTGTGAAACAAAGAAATAAAGGCTTACTTTTCTTAAAATTATGTTTTTTAAATTGACCTGATACATGTTAATTTGGATCTCTCTGTGTACTGCTTGCTCCATTTTTCTAGCATAATACTTGTGCCAAGAAAGAAACAAAGAAAAAAAAAGAATATTTAGACATTTGAAATTAGTATAGTCTTTCTCATTTTAGGTGAAAATTAACTTCATAGTACAACTTTCTCAAACACAATTTTCTGCAACATTATGGTAATAAATAACATTATGTTCAAACTAGTAGAATAGCAGCAATAGTAAAACACATATAAAGCATGTTCAAAATTTGATTTTCCCCTGCAGAGAAAGAAAAATATTAGAATTGTTTACCTGGAGATATGATATAGAAGAAATCTTTAAATTCATCCATCCAAACTTCTGCCAGCCTCCTATTGTTCTTGTTGATGACATGACCAGTGCCACCAGGAAAAGTGTATGGAGTTGCCTTCCGAAAAACATGACCGACATGGGAGCAAGTCACAATCTCCAATGAGCCTCCACATTGCCAAATCTGGGGAAGAGAGCAGTGGTTGTATAATAATCATAGATAACGCAGCAATATTTTCTGAGAAGCAAGTCTAGCTAAGTCCAAATCTTCAGATCTTATTATACATGGTTCAAGCCAACATCAGATGGACACAAAGTTTAGAACTAGGATACTTAGGTTTGACAAAGGATTCTAATTTGGAAGAACTATACATATTTAAATATTGTAGCATTAGAATTATGGAAGATACAATCATTTTCGTGTCCTTTTACTAGACTACATAATTTTCAGTGTCTAGTAGTTAATGTAATTGCTGTTTAATAAATATGTGGTGTCCAAAATCTGCTGTGAATGAATGAGTTTATACTCATTAGATGTCATGGTCAATAACTAAATTTGATTTAAAAAATAGAAATCTCTTATACTGCATCCATCTAGAATTTTAAGTGACCATTAATTTCCAGTTGCCCATATCTCCTGTATCTTAGGCCTTTTGATATGTTATTATTGCTATTAAAATGTGCTAGGGCTCCTTTATATCTGTTCAGCATCTATGCATCCTTCAAAGCCCATCTCCAAATCATTTCTTTTTAGTATTTAGACTTATTACTGTGTGATTTTTGTACTTTAAATACACTTTTATGAAAATGTGACTACACTGTATTGTAAGCAAATGTCTACTTCACCATCACTCTTTTAAAACTACAAACCCTCGGAAGACATGCCATATAGTTCATGGTATCCAAGATTTACTGTGCAGTTGAGGCAACATATTAAGTATCCATAAAACAAGATCTCTATTAAATTCCATTGTATAGTTTATAGGTTATACTAATAGTATGTGTGTAAGTGTGTTTATATAGATAGATAAGTCATATATAAGTATAGATATATAGATATGACATATATACACATAAACATACTCATATATTTATTACATACAAGTAATATATTACATATGCACTACTGTTTTTACCCCAATAAATAAGTCACAGTTATCACTATATGTAATTGGGAAGATTTGGTTTTATACTAAAGCTAGCATTGTTCTTATTTTAAGGAGAGTTGCTTATCTTTAAAGAAGAAGTTTTTTCCAATTAGCTCCTCCAGTAATATCCATTTTAGAATATAAATATTATTGTAAGAGGGCTGGTATTGGGCTTGCATGAAGTAAGAGACATTCATTTTTTCCAGATTAAATATACTAAATAACAAGTTATATTTGACAACAAAGGTTTGACATTACATATACAATCTATTCATTCTCATTTTATAATTGTCTAAACAGTGCAATGCTAACAGAGAAGGTGTTCCAAACCCAACAATGAAATGATGGAACAATATAAAAGAAGCATGGAATTCACCATTCCCCTCAAATGACAAGATAGCTCATTCTTAAGTAATCTAAGTGTTGAACTGGTAACTTTTGCACTTTCTACCAAGAAATCCATAAATCTTGTAATTACACACATTACATTCTTCCTTGTTATTAAAATAGAGGAAGCTGACCCTTCTAGCAAAGACAAATCAATATTTGGATGTCAGTCTAGATCTTATCCCTTATGACTTTCTTAAGGACTTCACTGCTTTGGTCCTCTCCTTGATCTTCTCCCGAAACAATAATTTCCCTCATTACTAGATTATGTCTATTTTTTTCATCGTATCTCCTAAAATCTTCTGTCATTGAAATAGATTAAAAATACAAAAACAAAAACATTAAAAAACACAGTGAAACTTTATCCCTTGGTCCACATCCCTATTCAACATATCTCCTTTTTGGGCTTCTCCTCACATAAATTAACATAAAATTTGTATGCATACATGTTGCTTCCCTTCCTCATTTTATCCATTTTTATACTCATTGTGAAATGCTGTTAATCTCTGCAGCTACCCCCAAATCACCATGGCGACGTGAAAAATGACAAAGCTTTCCCATAACGAATATCTCGTAGACTCCTTTCTTGGATCTTCTTGCCTTCCCTTCTACTACTTCGCTGTTCATATATTTTCACTCTACATTTCTATTTAAATCCTGGCCTTTCTCTTTATTCATTCTCTAGGTGGTCTTTCTTCTTATTACTTTACACATGATCTGAATACTTACAACCTCAGCAGCGACACCTGAGCCCAGATCTCTCCTCTGGGATCCATACTTACAAATGCAAACAACTACTCCATACCTCCTCCTGCGTGTCTCAGAGACATCCACACACACGTGTCTGAAGCAAAACTGATGATTCATCCCCAATTTGTCAGCCAGGCCTTATTTTCTTTCAGGTATTTAAAAAAAATCATTAATAAATAATACCACCACCATACACTCAGGTGGTTAATCCAAAAAGCAAAACAAAACCAAAGGGGGAAATAAAAACAAGCCTGAAGCACCCCCTCCCCCTCTTCTCACCCCAAACACACACACACACACACACACACACACACACACACACGAAAAACAACCTAGAAGTCATCATTCATTTCTCCTTTTTTTTTCATCACTTATATTCAATCCATGAACAAATCCTGGTGGTGTTATCTATAAAATAGTTTTCAGTATAGCCATCTCTCCCTGTCTCCACTGCCACCATCCTCGTCCTAACCACCAACATCTCGTCTGTCAATTGCAACAAACCCTGAATTGTCATGCTGACTTCACTGTTGCTCTCTTATAATTTGTTCTGTACTGAGAAATCAGAGCAGTCTTTAAAAAAAATTAATCATTTCATTTTACTTCCCTGCTTAAATCCTTCAATGGTTTCTCACTGCACTGTGACTATAAATAAACAAAATCCTTCAGCAGGGCCTCTAAGGCCCTCTGTGATTCTCTCCCTCTGTCAATACACACTGGTGATATTGGCTCTCTGCCATTTCCTAGAATTACAAATCACATACTCTTTCATACACCAAAACCTCAACACATGCTTCCCCTATACCTGGAATACAGTTTTGTCTGCCCTTCACCTGGTGGCCTCTTTCCCATACTTCTCATCTCAGCTAAAACATCACCTCATCAGAGAGATCTTCCCTAATTGCCATACCGGAAGGGCCCCACCATAGTGATTCTATTAGCACCCTGTTAATTTCCTTTATTGCGCATCGCAATCTGCAGTGTATTTATTTGTTTGGCTATGCACTTTTTCCCGAAAATAGATGTACACTCTGAAAGGGCAGTGGAAATACCTAGTCAACATTTTACCTCCAGAACTAAGCCTGGTGCTTTTTACACAATACGTGTCACTGCATGTTGGTTGAATGGAAGAATGACAACTTCAAATTAAGTACCGAGATTAATGTTAAAAAAAGGCATCCCTGGCTGAATGATACAATTTAAACAGACATATTTTGGAGGTATTTTAAACTGCATTTTTTTAAGAAAATATTTTTAATATCAAACTCGGTGGAATAGAATGGTATGCAACTTGGGAATTGAGGAAGTTCTTTGGTGGTCACGGCACCACAAATGAACATTAGAAATGATTGATGGTTTAAGACAAACAATGTTGCTAAATAATATAATTTTGATTTTTAATGTCTTGCTAAAGTAACCATTTAGCCAAACTCACACAATATCTCTTAAAGACATAATTTAGTGAAGTACTCAGATATTGTACTATGACCAGGCCTTTCAGCAAGGTGCCCCAAATTCAGAAGAAATGGCATATGACATGTTATACTTGAGAGGGAATTTAAGATTTTCTCTTTATTGTGTGGAATGTGCTGTTAGTGGTGGTGATTTTCCCTGTCTTCTATGGATTGTACATGAGTGAAGAGCGCCTTTCTTCCTTCAGCCAAGTCATATTGGAGAACTAGGTGATTGAAGGAAAGGCTGGCATTTTACTTCTCCCTGGATATTTGCTGAGCAGTAAAATCAGCAGTCTCCTGTGGTGTCGGCATCAGAACACAGCAGAATGTGGTGAGTGAGCACGTGGGAAAGCCTCAAGCGTGGGAAAAACATGGCCCCAGTAAAATGAGGACCATTTCTGGTCGAGGGAATCCTGGAGGTGGGTTAGGGCTTATTGGACAGCTTGTTCCTGTAGAATTGATAGGTCGAGTTATATAGTGACCCTGGGAAGGAAGGAGTAGTCTTTGAGGACAATTGTACAAGACTTTAGTGCTTCCCAAATTCATAGAACATGGAATCTAGAAGAGAAAAAGTGAGCTGTGGGATTAGCAAAGGTGAGTATATATGAAAGTATTGAGTTTTGGGTATCCTTCTAAATTGCAATAAAATTTTTTATTTACATGTGTAGGCATAAGGCAATAATGATTGTTGATTTACCAGACAGAAGGAAAACCTGTCTCTAACTTTGAACCTTACTGATGGAGGCAGTTCTTAAATATACCGGGGGTGCTAAAAAAATGTATACAAGTGAACACTAGTCGATGTTGCTCAAGCAGCTGTTCGCCAGAATCAAGTGTCTAGATGCTGACGGTAACCACTATGAGCACCTCTTGTAATTGCAAAGGTCAAATGTGACTTGTATTCATCTTTTGTTATCGGTATATATTGAGTATTATAATACAATTTTAATACAGTTTTCCTTTCTTAAAATGTGTATACATTTTTGGGCACCCTCTGTATTTAGGAGAGATGATAGAGGTGGAGGTAACTTTTCCATAACTCAGTGACTATTGACCTGTGTTTCGTTTGAGAACTATAGTCTACTGACTCCTGTAATAAAGGGAGTACTTTTCCCATTGCCACCTGTACTCATAGAATGTGTAGATTAAAGTCATATTGTATTTGCCAAATTTTGATGAAAATGAAAAGACCAAGGTAGGAATACATAACATTATGCATTAATTAGAGTGATATCTGGTCATAGTAATCAGTTAATATAAAAACATTTAGGTGATAAACTATTTACCAGTTAGTTACCTTGTATTTAGTAGATATAATTCCCAGAAAACAATAGGGTTATATATTAAAGTGAAAAGAATTCAAAATGAGTGGAGACCACAAGGACTACCATGATAATTTCCCTTAGTGTACCTTCAACAAATATTTTGGAGGGTTGGAAGGAAGG